ATGGATCCTTATCCTTTATGGATCCTTATCCTTTATGGATCCTAAACTTTTATGGATCCTTATCCTTTATGGATCCTAATCCTTTATGGATCCTAAACCTTATGGATCCTAAACCTTTATGGATCCTAATCCTTTATGGATCCTTATCCTTCATGGATCCTAATCCTTTATGGATCCTAATCCTTTATGGATCCTTATCCTTTATGGATCCTAATCCTTGATGGATCCTAATCCTTGATGGATCCTAATCCTTGATGGATCCTAATCCTTTATGGATCCTAATCCTTTATGGATCCTAATCCTTTAGTGAAGTTAATCCTTTGTGATGTTGGTCTGAATTCCTTTATAGATTCCAGACCTTCCCCCACTTCCAGGAGATATCTAAATAATTTCTGGAACTTTTACAGGTGAGGCCAACATATTTAAATACTGAAGTCCTCACAACATTTAGTGAGAAATAAACACAGGCACTCTGTCTCTCTGGAGCCCCCTGCTGTTCAACACTGGCACTAACCCGGCATGTCATCATTGACCAAGAACATTGGGGGTAATGAGGAGCACAACTAAGGTATTTCTATGATAAATTTTGGAAGATTGTTGGAAGTCAGAGCGAGAATAAAGCTTGTCCCAAAGAGAATCTGATGAAGTCAGTAAATCCACCGTCCTCAGGTTCAGGTTTGTCATCTACCATGGTTAGGATGGCGTGAAGGTTTTATTAGAAGTCTACGGATCTCAGGTTCTTTCTTTTTTCCTCCATTTAACAGAACTTTAATGGGAGAAACACAGAAGATAAAGTGAACAGAGAACATCAAACATCTAAGTGTTTGTTTATGTGAAAAGGCCTGAAATCAGAGCAGGAATTAAAACTTAAGTTTGTGTTTATGTCATACATGATTATACATAGAAATTACACTATTAATAAAATGTAGAACACATTAAGGTGAGTGTTAGCCTAGTGGTTAGAGCAGTGCGCAACAGCCTCCATTCTGGGTCCCTGAGCAAGACCCTTAACCCCACACTGCTCCTCAGACGCCGCACAATGGCAGCCCACTGCTCCCCAAGGGGACGGGTTAAATGCAGAGTGAATTTCTCCAATGTGAGATCAATAAAGTTCAATTATTATTATTATTATAAAGTTTAAAGTCTCCGCCACAATCGAGGGAGGAGGATGAATGATGAATAGTTTAACAGTCCTAAGGGTTAGAGCGTTCCTCACTTCATCCTACATCAATGTTACTTTTCTATCTTCCAGTTGGATTGTAAAAAGTTTGGTCTCTATCTGCGCTCCTTCAGCCTCCCTCAGAGCCACATCCAGCCCCTGATTGGTTGAAGAAACGCGAACCGACAGAACAGTTCTGATCTTCCTCATCACTGCGATGATCCTGCCTGCTGCATGGCTTAGCATCACAGCGCTCCTGAATGCACCTCTACAAAGAGATAACATATAAATTGCTGGAATCATGATTGATAAGAATCCACCTCGATGATTAAACCGAGTCTAAGAAACTGATCAGCTGCAAGAACCAACAGAGCAGACGAAGCAGGCGTCCAGCATGGAGAGGACAACAGGTGCAGTAATGAGGATCAGGGGTTTCCCTCATGACCAGAACGTGTTTTCTGGAATAAAAACTCTACTTCCCACCAAATGAATCGGGTTTTATTACTTCCGTTTAACTTGTTTTCCGTTTACTGTGCAGAATTGGCTCCTACCTGGTGATGCATTCAGCAGCTCAAGCTCAATCTGTTTGGACGTCGGGTCAAAGTTCACAATCTTTCCCTCCTGATGTACAAAGAAACATGTTGGACTGTTAGGCTGCAGCAAATATGTGGAATAAGTCCTTCAAAGAGGACTCTACCCACCTTATACTCTGATACTTCTGGGGTGTAGTTCTCCGTTAGCTCCAGCAGCTGTTCAGGAAGGAGAGAAATAATTAACAAGAACAGCATGGGGGTGAGTAGAAAATGAAGGCTAATCATGTTTTGGGTGTACTATTCCTTTAAGGCACTTTACAGTTAACCAGATCATCCAGTCAAAGTTTTCTATCTAAGGAAAACCA